CAGGCCTCACGCTTCCAAGGCAGGTGGCAGCACCACTGAGCTAAATCCCTGGCCCAGCACTGTAATTCTTAAGAATCTTAACTGTGTCTCCTGTTAAGTAAATGGCCCATTTTGTTGCTTGTTAGCACATCTATCACATGGTAGCAAAAAAGAAAAGGTGAAATTTAATTAATTATTAGCTGCTCTAGTAAACAGTTTGGAGAAAAGTTAATCAACTTTAGCAATTAACTTTGTTGCTCAACTGCTGTTAACACTGGCTAACTCCAAAAGGAAACTAATGTTACAGTAACTGTTGACTCTAAAGAAATATTTGCTTCCAAAGGAATTTTTCTGACTTTAGTACAAATTTTTTTATATACTTGTTAATACTTTCTATGCCATCAATAACAATTGAGTGAAGTAGTACTCACTTATCTCACTGTATACAATAGTCAAGGTTTTTATTTTGCTTCAAAAGAAATGTGATTACCAGCCAGACAGGCATGATAACAGACACCTATAATCCCAGCACTCAGGAGGCTGAGGCAGAAGTACTGTCACAAGTTCTAGGCCAGTCTGAATTACACAGCAAGAACCTAACTCAAAAATAGACAAACAAATAAACAAATGTGGTTAACAACTGCTAACTCTTGGAGTTTTATCAAATTTGTGAATATACCTTTCCAAAGTAATAAGGGAATTTGTTGTGATCTTCAATGACATGGGCAAATCCTCCCTGGAGGCCAAAGTCCACTGAGAAGTAAGGTAAACCTCTGGGTACCTAAACAAACAAACAAATTAACAGACACATAAAATACAGCATGACATCAGAAAGTTATCTCTTTCTGCTTCCTGACATGAAAGTAATTAATCATCCTTCAAGATAAATGTATATAAAGAATTTCCAATTCTAGAGATACTTAAGCGATAACCTAACTTTCTAAATAAATATTTCATTTTGATATCATTTTAGTGAGAGAGCTCTTTATCCTATCTGGAAATTATAATCAAAACCAATTATGTTTCTGTCGTTGGGAAAAACAGAAAAAAAAAACCTTAAATATTTTCATATAACTACAGAATAATGTTCAAGACTACACAAATAAAAAAATGAGGATGTGGTTTTCCAGATTTTACTTACATTAAAGAATAGGGTGAGAAGGGCCGGGGATTTAGCTCAGTTTGGTGGCCTGCCTTGCAAGTGCAAGGACCCGAGTTCAATCCCCAGTACCAAAAAAAATAGGGTGAGAGACCTGGATACATACCTTAAGGTTCATTTGCAATATCCCTAATATCTTTATTATGATATACTTATCAAAGATAAAGAATAACTTTTTATTAACTACTGAGGTAGGTATAACAACACTTAGTTTATCAACCTAATTTCAAAATGTCTCTAGGATTAATTCTCTATTATTTTGTACTATTTTGTCCCCTCCCTCTTTACACATACACACACAAAGTATTTTAAACTGTATCTTGAGTAGAAAACTGGAAAAGGCCATAATTTCTTGCTTTCTCTATCAATTAAGTAGACATTGTACCCTTTGAAATTTTACCCTGCAAGCCCCAATACAGTCACTGGAAATTATCCCAAATGGGTCAAGTTATATGACCCAAATGGTCATATCCCCCTATAATCCACACACACACAAACAACATTTACTTATTTGGGCTTCTGAACCACGTATTCCTACTTAACTACATGAATTTTATGTTGTATCCTCAGGAAGGCACAATTTAGAAGGGCATAGTATGGATAGTAGAAATAGTACTCACCTTGAAACATTATAAAACAAATATAAATATTAATAGAGTTGTTCAAAATATAGGAAAACTATAAATAAAAAATCAGTTTACCAGAGTATAAAACATAAAATGTAGAGAAACAGGTTGCTACTTAGCAGCTTTATAATTTTCTGTATTTCCATTTTTTCAACATAACAGGACACTGTATATAAAAGACCCAGCCAAATTCTTAGAACATAAAAGATTACAACTTTCATTTTTATCTCCCACACAGCTTGTTCAATGAAAATTTTTTTGAAGGCTTCCTTAGAATATTTTTGACATCTGAATTAGATCACCAGGTGTAAAGCATGAATCTGAATGCCTAACGAGATGTTCTAAAGCTATATCTACTAAAGTGTGGTACTTTGAGAGATATAAATAACTTGAGGAAAAAACATGTAATGACAGTATTATTGCCTTTTGTTTGTATCATGCTGTGGCAAGAATAATGGGCCCCTAAATATGTCAATGTCCTAGTCCCATATGTGTTATGAGTGTATATTACCTTACATGGCAAGAAGGACTTTAATTTGTGAATAAGCTAAGGATCTTGAAATGAGGAGGTGCTCTTGAGCCATACACATAAACTCAATTAATCACAAGGATTCTTGAAAGAGACAGGAGGCTCAGAATAAGAGAAAGGGAGATACTGTACTCTCTACTTTGAAGATGAAGGAAGGGATCACAAGCCATGGAAAATGGGTAGTTTTAGAAACTAGAGAAGGCAAAGGAATCAAATCTGCTGTAGAGACTCCAGAAAGAACACAGTCCTGCTGACACACTGATTTTGGTTCAATTAAACCCATCTCATACTTGTAATCTCCAGAAATGCAAGATAATAAGTGTTTTAAACCTTTACATTCATGGTAATTTGTTACTGCAGAAATAAGAAACTATAAAGACTCAAGAACCTATGGCATATTTGCAAAGATGGCACTGAATAGACAACTACATTGTTATGAAAGACAGCTGCTATCACAACTTGCAGAACACAAAGGGTAGACCCTGCAGTCATGCTAGAAGAGTTATCAGTGCACACAGCAAGGCTCTTATATCAAAGAGAATGTGGCACAGCCAGCACTTTCTCTTTACTCCACTGGCTACCACAGAGAAAAGTTGGAACTGTGGTACTCCTCTAAGGGAAGTGACAGATTATAGCAAAAAACATTTATTTGTAGTAGAAAAACAGTAATATCCTAATTTTTTTCTCTGCATTCCAGATATAAATCCTGACTTCCTGTAAGTATCTTTCAGTTTCAAGGGTTCTGGTAAACCCAAATTTTCCTTGAGAAGTATTTTCCTTAAATAAAAAAAAAAATCAAGATCTGTCACATAAGGGTACAAGATCCTAATGATGAATGTAACTGTACTGTGTACTTAAAAAGTACTAATAAACTCAGTAAGATTAAAAAAAAGAAATCAACCAATAACAAACACTGGTAGAGTTGTAGGGAGAAAGGAACCCTTTTCCATTGTTGGGGAAAGTGCAGACTGGGGCAACCACTATGGAAATCAATATGGAGAGACCTCAAAGAACTAGGATTAGAGGTTCCATTTGACCCAGCCATCCCTCGGCTGAGTATCTTCCCCAAACAATTAAAAGAATCATGTCAGAGTGATATACACTCACCCATGTTTATAAGCGGCACAGTTTGTAATAGCTAAAACTTGGAAACAGGCCAACTGCCCATCAATTGGAGACTAGATAAAGAAGATGTGTTTTTTTCTATAAAATGGAGTACTACTCCACCATAAAGAATGAGAAACTAGTCATTTATAGGAAAATAGATGCATATTGAGGACATACTCAAGTGAAATAGGACGTACATGTATAAATACCATATAGTTTCTCTGGAGTGAATAACTAAAAGTGTAAATAAGATCCAAATTGTAGAACTGACAATGTGAAATAGGAAGAAAAGGGCTAAAGGTGTGGTGGAAGTAGAAAGGGTAGGTGAAAGGAAATAAGGAAAAAAATATGAGAAAAGGAAAAAATGGAAACAGACTCTGTAATTAGGGAGGGGGGAGAGGGTAGGGGAGCAAGGGTAAGGGGGGGGCAAGGGTATGGGGAAAAATGAGAATCAATATCTGTCATGTAAAGATACAAGATTACAATGATGAATGTAACTGTACTGTACACCTAAAATGTACCAATAAACTCAATAAAAAAAGTCAGCCTCTAAATGTTAGATTTTTTTAAATTGCTACAGTTTCCACACAATTAATGTTAACTTTTTTAAAAGCTGAGAAAAATTCTCATGAAATCTCAATAAAACAGCCATGTGAAAATGACCACTTTTTGGTAAGTTATTACACAATTCCTCTGCATTTGAACATTCAGATCTGCTTCCTTCATCTATTTCCATAGGCTTCACACTACATTGTAAGAAATCAAAAGACCCAAGGAAAGTAAATAAAATAGACACAAAAAGGGAAGCTTATAGACATACAGCAAAGAAAAACATGAATTCAAAAAATATCAAAATGAATTGCAAATATGTGAATCTGTATTATAAGTGAAGAATCAATGCAGTGGGAAAAAAAAAAACTGCACCAAACTCTCAATGAAGCAGGCAAAAAACTTTATGAAATTACTAAGGACATAAAGCTTGTAAAAAAACAATAATGAGGCTCTTTCAGAAAATGTTAAAATAACTCAACTGTTCACTTCATGTTCAGAAACACACATCAGTTTTAAAGAGCCACTAGAGAGCTTGTTAACCTAGAAAGTGACCTCCTTTGGAATTACTCTTACTTGGAGTTCTCTTCACAATTCCATTCATATACTACAATTACAAACCCCAAAGCTAAAAGGCACCTCAGGAGGTCACCTGGCTCTCTTTCTATCTATTGTGATTCTCAAAAAGTCTCAAGTACAAGACTATGTATTGCCTTAGGAAAGGCAATGGTTCCTATCTTTGAAATGCTTTAATGTTAAACATACCACTGTCATTCGTTCTTGAGAGGAAGCCAAATTATAAAGAGCAAAATAAAAAAAATAGATAATAAAAGTAGGGAAACAGATCTTTCTCAAACAGGAAGAGGATCAAGAGATGGAGAGAGGCAAGAGGAATGAGGGGGAAAGAGGATGAAAAAGGAATTGAGATGTGTTATGTATATGTAACATCTCCACACAAGGAACATAACATGATACGCTGCAAAAGTGTACTTATTAAAAAATAAAAATTAAATTAAAAATTAAAACTGCCTGTAGTTGTAGAGGTATACACTTTTTCATGTTTGTTGCTTTTCTCTCTGTATGTTTACTTTATTGTGTTTTTACTCAGATTTTTACAAATTTGTTGATTGTACTCATCATTTCATAGCACCATCTTATACATTAAGTATAGATTTTGATTGACATACTTGAAGTTGTTTTGTGAAGAGAAAGGGATTAACTTATCAAGATCTGGTTACTTAATTCATATACTTATCTTGCTCTTAAAAAATAAGACATACTAGATGATTCACCAGTAAAAAGCTGTGCATACTGTACAGCATATGGAGAATCATATATTTCTTTAAAAATTTCTACTCTGGGGCCTGGGGATATAGCTCAGTGGTGCTGTGCCTGCCTGGTAAGCACAAGGTCCTGTGTTCAATTCCCAGTACTTGGGGGAAAAAAAGAAGAAAAAATTCTCACTGTAAAAATTTCTAATCTGAAATGTTTTCAACCACCATTAAAATCATTTTCTGAGCTGGGCATGGTGGCACATGCCTGTAATCCCAGCACTCGGGAGGCTGAGGCAGGAGGATGGCTGTGAGTTCAAGAACAGCCTGGGCTACATAGTCAGTTCCAGGTCAATCTCAACTACATTGTGAGACCCTGTCTCCAAAAAACAAAAAAACAAAAAACAAAAAATCATATTTAATGGTACAGGAAATTTTGATTTATGAAGTGCAGAAAATGGACACAAAATACATATGTACCTTAGCCATTTTTTTTAATATGCTAGTAAGAGAGAGAAGAAAATAGGACACTTAGGATGTTTTGCTTTTGTTTTTGTTTTAGTTTGTATTTTAATATATTATCTGGTCCAATTACCAGCAAGGGAAGACAATGTTGTGCCTTCTCATTACAGTTATGCACCTTCAGTAATGCAATGAAATTTGAATATTCTGTCTGGGATATAATAAGTATAATAAGGAATCCTTTCATATACAAGTCATCTATCAGGAATCTGGTTTTCCAGAAGAAGAAATGGAGGAGAAAAAGTCTAATGATATTTACTGGAAGGCAAACTGGCAAACGTCGTCTATTAAACAGCCACATGATAAAATGTTTTAGGCTTTGTAAATCATGCAGTCCTTATTGTGACTATTTAACTCTGACCCTATAGCATGAAAGCAGCCACAAGCAATTCATAAACAAAAGGGTAAGGCTATGTTCCAACGTGTGTTTAACAAACACACAGGGCCAGGGATTTAGCTTAGTGGTTCTGCCACCTGCCTCACAAGCACAAGGTCCCGAGTTCAATCTTTGGTACAAAAACACAAAAACAAAGCCAGGCAGGGGGGCCCATGCTTGTAATCCCAGCACTCGGGAGGCTGAGGCAGGAGGATCACTGTGAGTTCAAGACCAGCCTGGGCTACATAGTGAGTTCCAGGTCAGTCTCAACTACATAGTGAGACCCTGTCTCAAAAAACAAAAAAAAAAAACAAGCAGAGGACTGAGATGAATATGCTGGCTCAGGTTTCCATTTGTTACCAGTATACAATCTCTATAAAAGCAAGGATCAACTCCATTTATCCTACTATGCACAAAAAGCAGCCAGAACAGTACCCACAAATAAAGTGCACTCAATAAATATTTGTATAATAAATTATTTTTTGATAAAAAAGGAATCCATACTTCTATTAAATCTCTATTCCATTTTTACTTTTCTAGAAATAAAAAGGTCATTATATAGTACTGACCTTAAGTGCATCTTGTATCTAAAATTTGATTGACAAAACAAGATTAAACTATAAAACATAACTAAGTCTCAATTTTACCAGATGTTTATGGGAATAAAATAGGGCTTTTATATTTTAAAAAAAATCGCTTCTCGGCCTTTTGGCTAAGATCAAGTGGAGTATATTTTAAAAAAGAAGAAAATGAATTTCAAATTCAAACTGTAGCCTCTCAGAAAATTTTGCCCTTATTGTAATTCTAGTAACAAGAATTTCCCTTCATCTCAGGCCTACAAATCTTAGAAGGTCTGATGGCAGATTCAAATGGTTGCCATATTAATTATGCGGGAGGGGTGTCATGGTAGATGGCTAAGATTGAATAAAATCCCTCTATAAACAAACACTTTACACACCAGATAGATGAAAATAACTGTGGAATTAGTTATTTTACCTTTAGTCACTTAACCAAATGGTCTATTTCTCAACTAAGATGTAGAAGATCCTAAGCACTAAAATAACTTGTTAGAAAAAAATGGTACTTACAGACTTCCTGATGTCTTTTGAAGAAAGATCAATCAATTTCTTGTTCATGGACCACTCTTCATCAGATTCCATTATGGCTTTCTAAGAAACAGCCATTTGTTAAATGAAAAAGTAATATAGCAGCAAATACAAAGAGACCACTTAAAATAATAAAATGAATCTATTACACACCAGAATATACACAGTAATACTAGGTAATATACATAATAGTATATATAATATACATTTATCTGAATAGGCTTTCATTTTTGTTATTTAAAATTAGAACTCTTGACTGTGTTAAAATCCTGTTAGACAAAGACATTATTCTTTTACTTACTATTAACTGTTGTACTAAATTCAGCTCAACTTTACATGAAAAGAAAAAAACAATCACTGATAAGAACCAATAATTTAGGGTCAGGGACTTAGCTCAGTGGCATCATGTCTGCCTCTCAAGTACAAGGTCCTGAATTCAATCCCCCATACCAAACAACAACAACAACAACAACAACAACCCCAAATAATTTAATGCTGAACATAACTTGTAAATATAAAAGCCTATAAAAATTTCTTTTTATTTTTCCTCATTGAATTTATTGGTACATTTTAGGTATACAGTACAGTTACATTCACCATTGGGATCTTGTACCTTTACATGACAGGTCTTGGTTCTCATTTTTTCCCCTTGTCCTTGCCCTCCCCATTTACAAACACTTAATTTCCATTTTTTCATTTTCTCCTATTTTTTCTTTTCCCTTATTTCCTTTCCCCTACCCTTCCCACTTTCCCTACACCCTTATCCCTATTCTTCCTATTTCACATTGTTAATTATCTCATTAGGATCTTATGTACTATTATAGTTTGTTCACACCAGAGAAACTATTTGGCATTTACACATGTGTGACTTATTTATTTCACTTAGGAGTATATCCTCAATATGTATCCATTTTCCTATGAATAAATCTAATTTCTCATTCTTTATGGCTGAGTAGTATTCCATTTTATAGAAAAACCACATGTTCTTTATCCAGTTTCCAGCAGATGGGCAAATGGGCTCTTTCCAAGTTTTAGCTATTATAAATTACTTATTATATTCACAGAATGCTACTCAAATAAATTCATTTAGTTTTACTGCTCTTGTGCCAACAAAAACCTTGAACTATTTCCTCCCATATAAAAATGCTTATGGAAAATACACAGAAACAGAATTTTAAGACTTTTTCAGGTTTAGCAATATGGTTACTATTTATAGTAAAGAAATGCTTCATAAAAGTAAAAGCCATGGTAATGATAAAATTAGTTTTTTTAAATTATCATATTTATAAGGGAATTTTAAAGATGAAGTTAACATTCAAATAAGTACATTTTAAGTACATCAGATACACTGCTGTCCTATTTCAAAATCATGTGTTCCCTGACTTCACATCATAATTTAGCACAATCAATATAAAATTGAAACCAAGTGAAATAATAAATGCAGTTTTAAGGATTAAACAAAAGTTTTAGTGTAAAACAGAAGTATGTTAAACCATTCTGCCAAGAGATGACATTTCTGGCACACTACATGAGTAACAGTGGTTACTCTTAGTTGCCCCTCCCTACATCTCAAACGCTTCTAGTCATAATCACCATGACTCTACTGAGGAAGTACCCCCCAAAAATTGGACAAAGTATATTAATCTCTTTCTCAACTAAATTTGGCGAGCACAGAAATACTATGAGCCTTTCGGATTATATTGCTTATTTCCCCATATTTTAACAACATAACTCTTTGTTTGTTTGTTTTCTGAGACAGGGTCTCCTTGTGTAGTTCTAGCTGACCCTAAACTCACTATGTAGCCCAGACTGGTCTCAAACTCATGGTGATCCTCTTGCCTCAGTCTCCCAAGTGCTGGGATTATAGGCATGCACCACCACATCTGGTTGCAACACAATTTTTAAAAATCAAATAATTATACTATATTTAAAGATTTCTAAAGAGAAAAAAATTTTGCCTTAACAAATTTCATAATCCTTACAGCTCATATTCATAAACTTCACCATTTTATATGCAATCTTCTTATACCAACTCACAGAACATTATCTTCCTTTTTCTTTGCATATGTTACTATTTCACGTTTCTACACTTATGTATTTGTATTAGTACATAAATCACATTCAAGTCAGCATCAAACACTATTTAGTAAAAGCTCCTTAAATTCTTTAATGACACCTAAAAGGTTATAAACTCGAGTCATTTATTACGTGCCCTAAAATATACATCAAAATTAGATATTTTCCTTTAGTAACTAGCATGATCAGATACTGAATACTAAAATTTCATCAATAATTTGTCTCAGCAATTGTAATTTATACTATTTATATGTTATCTTTGGTTTCAGTTTTTCAATGATCCATTTTCTAGATTTATGACTATAGTTTTGACTTAGAAGTGCTCTCTGGTAAAATACACCTCACTAGAGAAATAGGGATTAAAATAGAAATTATAGTTTACTATTTGAAACAAGGATGTTTTTAAAAGGTAAAAAGTTCATATTTCTTCCAAAAGATATATATTTAGCAGGAAATTTTTCTTGATATGATATACTTTTCTTTATATAAAATTTGATATTTAGGTATGGAGAAAAGTACATGAATAAGACAACTCTAACCTTAAAAAAGCACAGGAGCAAAAAATAAGTAGGTGTGCAAATACCTTAAAATAGACAGGAGCCATATCACCCACTTCTTTTGGGAGAGGAATGCATTCATAAACCATATGATACTGTTTCTTCATGCTCATATTAGTTTCTAAAAAGATGCAGTCCAATCCTTTATCTTCAAACATTTTTACTAATGATTTCCTAAACATCTAGAGAAAGTAGAAAAAATGACACACATATATATATTTAAGTGCTTCTCTTCTATGTATGGAAAAGACTTTTAAAATAGTTTAATGGAATAATTTGAGACATTATCTCTATTAAAAGAAAATTGTGTCTAAGTACAACATAAAAATATACTATACATATTTCATAATATTCATTTTTAAAGTTATACAACTAAATGATGAGAAAAATTTTTATGACTCATTATTAAAAGAGACACCAAAACTATTTTATTCTTAAAATAGATAATAAAGACCCCAAATTATGAGGATGACACAAAATTCCTATATTCCCACAGTATACTTTATTCTTTTTTTTGTTTTGTTTTGGGATTTTGATTTTTTGAGACAGGGTCTCACTATGTAGTTGAGACTGACCTGGAACTCACTATGTAGCTCAGGCTGGTCTTGAACTCACAGGGATCCTCCTGCCTCAACCTCCCAAGCTCTGGGATTACAGGCGTGTGCCACCACGCCCAGCAATATACTTTATTCTTAAAAAAGAAAACCCATTTTCCACATTCCTAAACTATCATTAATTAACATGTCTGAATTAAAATTCCTTACAATTTATTTAGCTAAAGTATAGTGCAGAATGTTGAAGTTCATAATTTGTATCACATCATTAAAAAATCAAGTAAATATGAATAATTTTGAAATTAAAATTATTTTTCTTAAACTATTAAAGCTAGATAGGGCTACTGTACAATATTAATGCTATAATTTATTCAAGTTTTACAACCTACCTAAATACAAATTTATCTAAAGATAACAAAACAGAAGACTCACAATTATTTCCACTTTCTTTGTAGAGTAACCCTCAAAACTGACATTACATCAACTTTCTTTAAAGGCATAAACCTACTCAGACAAGCAGAACTGAAGAAGACATAATGCAAGTCAGATTATAATATATGACTTAAATACTAGAAAGCTGGTACACACAATAAGAGGAAGAAGATGGATCAGTAGGAATGCAGGGAAGAAATCCTTGTTGCCCGCGGAACTCCAAAAGCTTCAGGAATTTACTTCATGGAAACACAGGTAAAGATGGAGCTAAAACAATAACTTACATAGAACTTTTATAAAAGGCAATTAACATGCCATTCTCCTCACCAGCAGAATACTACAGAATTATCCCCTGGGAAAGGTAAAACATAAGACAGCTGAGCTGGGAAAACCAGACATATTGGAGGATACCTACCCTGAAAATAGGGGTGTTGTAGGAAAGACTTCTTAATGTTCTTAAATACTCAATATTCTGTCACCCCCATCTTTCTTTGACCCTCAGCATCTAAAACCCTGGCATGCAAAATCAGATGGAACTGACAGAGAAAATACAAAAGGTCTTTTCTGGAGGGCCAGAGTGTCAAGGAAAAGACCTAAAGGGACCACCGGCAGCAGTTTGTAAGTGAAATGGTCCCATCAACATATCTCCACGGTAAGGCCTATTGCAGGCATGCATCAACAACCCTCCTCTTCCAGCTTGCCAGTTTGGGTTTTTGGTTTTTTTTTTGTTTTGTTTTTTCTTAAATGTGCTAAATAGTCTAATGATAGCATATATTTGGCATATATTTCAACATAGAATAAATTTAAAGAGGTCCAAGTATCACTATATTTAAAATTTTGAATCTTATATGAAAGTTATTATTTAAGTATGCCATGCTAAACTTTATCTTTGTATTCTCTATTAAATATAAGATCTAAAGTGAAATTTAAGTTTTTCTACATAATGGTATATAATTCTTTTAAAAACTCTTCAAAAAGAGCTAATACCCCTGCAAACAATATTTTGTGTTAAGTCAAATCAATTGTTAAAATGTATCCAACAAAAGAGGTGAGTAACAACAAAGATACTCACCAGAGTGTAATTAACATACTTAAAGGTAAAAACAAAAATCAAACAAGTGCACTTTTAAAAATATACAGTAGTGGGATTCTAATATTTTACTCATTATCTTATAGTAATTTATAATTTCTAATATTATTTTTCCTTTATCATACAAAAAGAACTATGTCATTATTTGTATTAAAAATTTGGTTTTTCCTTTCCTCAACTTTCCATAATGCATCTACAAAAAATATATTATTCCTTTGGGCAAAACTAATGAATGATTTCACCTCTGCATTTCTCACCAGAGCTAGAATAACATTACTCATGTATCAGTATCTAATGAACTGAATATATCTGTTTCTCTACCTCAGTGTTTTTCATCAAGCAGCTTAATTTCTTATAGAACTACAAAACATACCCACTAGATTACTAAAGACTTTTGACACTGTTACTTGTTCTAAGTTAAATCTGTTTGTATGTATACATTCTTAAAATGCATCCCAAAAAGCTCTAAAATAATTCTAAAACCCAAATATCTTCATACTTTTCACCTTAAATTATTTATTTTTATTTCCACTAATGTGGGGAAAACACTTTCACACCAAAAATACTCATCATATGTTTCTCCTTCAATGGTCTTGGTTGCAACAAAACAAGCAGCCCATTTAACTTTCATAGTAAAAACATTAAAAGCCCAGGGAGTAAGAGACTAAATGTCATGAAATACAACCAAAATATCTCCTCTTTTGGCATTTTTATCCCCATGCTACAAAAAGAAACATATATTATCTTTTGAAATCTTATGATTGTTACATTTTTAAACGATGGCTCTCCATAACCTCTACTTAGTTGTAAGGTGTTTAAAAGAAAATCAAGACCAACCTACTTCCCTCTATTCTTTCTCCACCTCCCCTGTCATTATAGTTTTGAAATAATTCAGCAACAATTTTACCCATATTGTTGTGCTTTTTAATCTGTTAAAAGCATGAGTCACAATAACAAATCTCTAAACCTAAAAGCTCTGTCATATTATAAAATGAAAAGACCAGAAATTAAAACTAGAGAAAAAAAAAATCACTGCAGTAGATAAAGCCAATTCCATGACAGGAAAATATGGCAACTGCTGATTTCCCAAACTTCTTATTATCTGAAAATTTCTTTCTTTCTGGATGGGAATTTACTAGATTATTGTGGCAATAATGATATTTCATGCTACACAAGTCACTGACTAGAAATCTTAGATTGATCTTTTGGTCAAAATAATTATTAGTTTGTAATCAATCATTTAGTAAACAAAAGTTTTTAAAACACTCAATATATAAGTTCATGAACTCAGTTCATGAACACTTCTGTTTGAAAACAAAAGTGTTTGACAAAATTTTGGTTTCATCTGTGAACTCTGTGACACAAATGTGGCTATCTTTTCCAGAATCGCAGAATAAATTAATTTCTTGAACTGAGCTACCACTGTAAAATTAAAAGGGTATGAGTGAGTGATGGAAACATGATCTGCAGATATAAACAACTATAAAAATATAAGTATCTAAATTCAGAAATAAAAATCACTGAAATAGAAAAACTGTTAGAATATACAAATTACAACACTTTGGAAAAACTGTTCATGAGCGTTAAACTGTTCATGATAATGAGCATCATCATGCTGACCTGAATTTCTTCCCAGATGTCTTCATCCAGTAAGGTAGCAGCTCGATGATGCTGCAAAGGGACTATTAAGCAGTGTCCCTCAGAAAGAGATCGGAAGTTCGGTAAACACAAATAAACCTATAGGGAAAAAATTCCAAAGGTGAAATGTTATTGCCATTTATTCTTAATTGGAAAAGGTGAGCCTCTAGTAGGGAAACACCTATAGTATTTAATAAAGTACACTTGCTTATAAGAAACACTTTTAATATTTTTAAAGCAAGGAAAATGGAAATGTAGAGCAAAAGTCTTGATTTTCATTGCTACACATCATACAAAGATTAAAATATCCTAAGGAAAACAAAGCCGAATATACACTTTATTCTTGATGTGAGGGAGCTATACACGTTGCCCTTGAAACAATTAGTTTCTGAGAAATAAAAAGTTATCAGGCCTGATAATGATAAGAGTCATCTAACTGATGCCTATTAGTCCTGTCTTAGTCACTTTGTTTGCTGAGACACAATAACCAATACCACAAACTTAGGTGAAAGGGTTCATTTTGGTTCACAGTTTGAGTGGGTTCAAACCATAGCTGGCAGGCTCCAAGACAGAAAAAACATGGTGATAGAGCATCGCAAAAGAAAGCAGTTTATGCCAGGGAAGCCAGTAAGAAGAGAAAGAAGAAAGGAGCTGATGACAAGAATGTATCTTTATAGGTCACAACCCCCAGACTCATGTCTTTAATCAGGCCCTATATCAAATATGAGACTTTTAGGGGACATTTTTTGAAAGACCAAAACTGTGACATTCCACCCCTAGACAACAAAAGGCTCAAGTCCATCACATTATGCAAAATGTATTGGTTCCATTTCTAGAGTTGCTAGTCTTAACAGTTCCAGCATCACTAAATAGTCTAAGCCCAACATATCCTTTGAGACTCAAGGCAAACTCTTAGCTGTGAGCCCTGAAAAAAATAAAAAAGGAAGTCACATACTTCCAACATATAATAGCACACAGTAAACCATTCCAAAGGGAAAAAATAGGTCAGATAGAAAGGAATGAAACCAAAGAAAGACTAAAACCCAGCCAAGCAAATACTAAATCTTGCAGCTCCACATCCATCTCCTGGGGAAGGTTGGGGTGAGCTGCGAACTGCAAAGGGCTTTGTGGTTTGCAGCCCACATGGCCTCTCTTTTAGGGAGGCTCACCTCAATTTCTGCAGATTTACTCAGCAGATATTCTACATTCTGGCATCTCCAGCTTCCTAAGGTTTCTACTATGCTTTTGGCCTCACTCTCACACCTCCATGCACTGCCCTCTCACGGGCTTCTGGTGGTAACTGTGACTCTGTTGCACATTTTTGCCTGGCATCTCAGGCCTTCTGAGATCTGGGTAGATGTTTTCCATGACCCCATAACTTTTTCACTCTGCATACCTGAAAAGATAGCACCATGTGGATGATGCAAAGGTTGACCATCATCTTGAGCAGCAGCTAGCCTGCTCAGAGCACAGCTGCAGCAGCCTGAATACCTGAATTCTAAACTAAGGGATACTTTACCATTTTGTACTCTTTAGTCTGTGACGGGTGGGGTCTTGCTGACTTCTGAGATGTAAGGCATCTTTCTTATCCCTGTACAAAGTACTTGGCTTCCTTTTACTGCTTATCTTTTTGGCAACCAAGCTCTCCATGGCCCCAACTTTATATATACTTCCTTTCTGGCCACCAGCACAACTGTCAAATTATTTAGCTCTGCTTTTTTATCCTGATTCTCAATGCAGATCTAGCTAAAAGCAGTCAGCTGCACCCATGCCACAAGGTGAATGGTGGTTGCCTTAAAATTTCATTCTCTAGATTAAGTAGTCCACCATCTTTAAATCAGCCTTACAATCTCAAGATATAGACAAAATGTAAACAAGCCTTTTTTGTCAGAGTAACACACAGGGCCTCTAGTACATTTACCAATAGAATCTTCATTTGCAATTAAAATCTCCTGAGCCTGGCCTTTGCTGTCACATTTCTATCAGCATTCTGGTCTTCTGGTCTTCTGAGCTCCAACCAAAATCGCCTTTCAAGTTCTGCTTACAGCTTTCTAGGGCTTCTCTAGCCTATGTGTCCAAGTTTTGCTGAACTCTGGTACCAAAGTGGTCTAAACTAATCTCAGATCAGTTCCAAAGGTTTCTGAACCACATGGTCAGGTACTGTCACAACAACCCCACTCCTGATACCAACATTTCTATATTAGTCACTGTCTCCATTATTGACTAACAATCCTGATACTTACAACTTAAAGGAGAGGAGGTTTATTTTGGCTCAAGGTTTAAGAGGATTTGGTCCATAATCACCAACCTTCAAGGCAGAAACAGCATAATGAAAGAATGCAGCTCCCAGTCAAGAAGCAGAGAGAGCGGGGGTATCCAGAGACAAAAATATACCCTTCAAAGTCACACACTCCAATAACGTGCTCCTTCCAAGGAGGCCCCATCTCCCAATGTAAGACTTTTAAGGGACATTTTAGACCTGAACCATAACACCTTCTTTCTCTCATTAGCTCAAAAGAAAATCTAGCTAAGAGGGAGAGGAAATAACCTTAGGATGTCTTTATTGCTGATTATAAAGTGAAACAAAAGGTTTTGTTGGAGAGCATAAACAATATTCTGCAAAAGACAATCTTATTTTCTATTATTTTTATTTTTAATATTTTACATGGCAGATATATATTTAATAAATAAAACAAATTTTAAAAATTTTACTGAGAAAGAACAAAGTAAGAACATATATGATATTTACCTAAACTTACCAGGAGTAAGAAGGAAAGAATGGAGGGAGCAAAGGAAGGTAGAGAAGAAAAGAAAAAAAGCAAAAGTGATCAAGCATGCAAATGTCTGTAGGTAACTTAAAAATGAAATATTGAAATACTAGACATAAAATGAAATACTGAAATAACTAAACTTACAACATGACTACTGAGACAACGTTTTCAGAGCAGAGATGGCAGAATAAAGCATAAGGTAGCATTTAAATGGCTTCAAAGTCTTCTGAATGAGAATACCAGTCTGAGAGGGAAAAAAACTGTTTAGCCAACTCTCAGTAAATTGAAAGCAAAGAGAAGAATTTAATATCATTAGAAATACTAAATGGAAAATGTGGATTACCTCACAGCAGAACAGGAAAACTGAGCAGGGAAAAGAGATATATGAGATAGTAGTAAGAGCTGAAGAAATAAAAATGTCTGTTTCCATTAGCCAGTGAGTTAATAATTGCCTACTCTAGACATAGCTGCTATGCCCTGGAGGTGTTTTTATCACCTCTAAAGTTCATGTTGAAATTTAATTCACAATATAAAGATGTTAGGACCATAAAGAAGCCCCAGGACTTGGGAGGCTGAAGCAGGAAGATCACTTTGAGTTCAAGGCCAGGCCATCCTGGGCTACAAAGTAAGCTTGAAGCCACCTTGAATTACAAAACTAGACTCTGTCTCCAAAAAAAAAGAACAATAAAGGCATAATTAGGTCATGAGAATGCCACCCTCATAAGAATTAATGTATTTCCCCCAAGAATGAGTTGTTATAAAGTAAATTCAGCTCTCCTTGGCCCTCTTGCTTCCCTGCTTGCTATGTGATTCTTCCACAGTCTCCTCCCTTTACACTTTATCACCAAGCTTGGGACAGCAGGAGGCCTCACCAGAAGCTGCACAGATAGTAATATGACAATCTTGAGCTTCCCTTCATCTAGAACTGTAAGTTAAATAAATCTCTTTTCTGTATGCTTCCCAAACTCGGGTATTTTTTGTAGCAACAAAAATTAACTAAGACAAAACTTATATGGCAAGAAACTATTAAATGTTTTGTACACTATTCTGAGCCTCCCTCTGCACACATTCCTGTCTTCAGTAAACTACAGAAAAAAAATTTTTTAAATCCCCACCTTCTGCTCAGGCATTGTAGAAAAATTTCAAATGTTATTTGATGTTTATTTTATTCCTATATATTTAAAGATATGGATGAAAGTAAAGAGAAATATTTATCCAGAAGGTAATAATTATAAACATTTAAATATTTCTGTGAAAGCTCAGAAAGGAATTCAGAAAAATGCCTATAAGTAATTAGCTAAGATAAGGTTTTATTCTTTTAAAATTGGTTAAATGCTAAATTGATTTTTTCAATTCACCCTTTTGATAAAGTTTGGAAGGAAAGAAATAAGAGTAAGGAAATGAAGTAAAAGCAAAGTTCAAATTGATGAAATCTCTGTCTTGATGACCTAAAGATACTGAAGACTGTGCGTATGTGACAACAAAATGAACAAATGAATGTATGCATATTCCCAAAACTACTGGTTCCTGAAACTAACATTCATTCATACAATTCTTCTAATCTTTTTATTTCTTATTTCACTCCAGCTTCCCTGCCTCATCAATACCACGCTCATTTCCTCTCAGAGCCTTTTACTCACTGATGCCCCTACCTGAAACATTCACTTCAGGCCTATATTGACCCTACTTATTCCTTCCCATCTTACACAACTTACTAATATCTCAGAGAATCCCCATCATTTTATCCAATTTTCTTACTTTACTTGTTTTATGACACTCTCAAATGATACTCTCAAATCAGTACAAGCATCAATTTCCTTATTTTCAGTCCTATTTCAATACATTAAAAGCTTCAAAAGTCTCCCTTGCTATTTTTTCCATGACATAATTAGGATTCAGCACATATCAGATACATAAAAATTATTTACTTAATGGAAAAATTATTTATACAACTAAATTACTATTATGTACTATAAACAAGACCAAGTCCTTGATGTATAATAGTGAGCACAAGTTATCTCCATGCTCATAAAACTTAAAGTCAATTGGTAGAGAGACACAACAAACAAGTAAATTAAAGAAAATATAATAAACTTCAAATTGTGAGATAGCCTACTAAGAAATAAATGGGTTCTAAGTATGTAAAGAAGCAGAAGCTATTTAAGACTCAGTCCCTCTGAGGTGATTTTAATGCTGAGAGTCAAGAGCTATGGAAAGATGGGAAGGCTGATAAATGGCAATGGTAGAATGTGAATCCACAAAAGGTGGCTCCAAAGTCCAGAACATTAACCACTCAATGCACATCTTGAACAGAAGCACACACCATTATGAACTTCTTCCCACTTAAAAATTTATTCTTGCTTTATGGACAATTTTAAGAATTATGATAATTTAGAAAAATATTTGAAACAGAAAAGAGAGCTTATTCTTTGGGGATCTTAAAAAATTAGGAAGAAAAAGGCAAATCTATGCATATTAATCAATCTTTTCCATGGATCAACAAACTTTATATTTCTTACCTTAACACCTATTGCAACAATAAGGTGCTTGGGAAATTGAGAGCTATCAAAACAATACAGACATTTTTCCATCTGTGCAACAAGACGCTGGTGCTCAGCAATAGCCTTTTTCCTCTGGTTTTGTTCCTCTTTACCAAGATGTTCTCTCTCAGCTGCTTTGGATACAAACATGTCATCCAGAGTATAATAATCCCCATCTGCTTTCCCCATAAACTGAAAAATCAAAATAACAGTGGCAGGGAGCCAGTGGTTAAGATTTTATTATACAATAATATCCTGGATGCATATCTGTTAGTTCTACAATAAAATGCAAACATTAAAAAATAAATAAAAAGAAATCGTGATTACACTTAGATTTGATCTTCCAAGTCAATCAATCCAATAACATGATCACCATCAACATCATCACAACTAAAGTTTACTAAACGTTTACTATATACAACTCTGTGAAATTTGATTATGTCATACACTCCTTTGAAGCAGAGACTGATGCTTTTAAAACATAAACACATATTTTACTTGTGGCTCTGCTTAAAATAGCTATATACTCTGTACAGGGTCAAATTCAGACTCTGGTATCACTTATGAAATTACAGACACAAAAAGGCATAATGATAAAAAGCTTGGGTTCTAAAGCCAAAATAACCATAGTAAAATTCTACCTGTCTATATAACCTTTAGCTATTTATTCTCTCTGTAATCTCTCTAGACCTATTTCATCAATTTAAAATGATTATAACAACATTATCCATCTACTGGAGATATCCTCAGAACACATATCTGGCATAGAGTGAAGACATAAATGCGAGCTACCATTATTATTACAAATCTCTTCATGATTTGGTATCGATGGTCTCCAGACACATTTCACTTCATCCCTACTCAAAGTCTATGTTTTAAGTACCCTACTTTCAGCACCCAAAAGACCTGTTAGCTTCACATTTTGTACATACAGTTCTGTGATCAACTACTCCTTCTATAATGCAATTCTACTCATACTCATTATAGGCTTAGATTTAGTTGTCACTTCCCTGAAAGAAATTTCATGATGACTACACTGTATCCTATGTGTTCATTGGCCTGTTGTTTTCTTTCATTACAATATGTTCTCAGTCTACCGAGTATAAAGCAAAACAAAACTAAAATTATTTTTTTAAGTCATCAAATACAGAACAGTAGTAAGATGCTTGGATCTTAGCAGACATTTTTAAAAATTTAAAGACAGACTGACATTTGTGTATTAAAGGACAATATCAATAGAATGAAAAAGCACCCCATGGAATGACAGAAAATATTTATAAATTACATATCTGATAAGGGACTTATATCAAAATATATAGAACTCCAACTTATCAAGAACAGCAACAAAAAAGCTAACTAAAAAATAGGCACATAAGCTGATTAGATAATTTTCCAAAGCAGATATATGAGTAGCCAATAAGCATATGAAAAGATACTAAAAAACATTAATTATCGGGTTGGGTATTTAGCTCAGGAATGCCATGCCTGCCTGCTAAGCACAAGGTCCTGAGTTCAATTCCCAGTACCAAAAATAACAATAATAATAATAATGATGATGATAATTATCAGGGAAATGCAAATCAGACCCACATGAGTTATTCCCATCACACTCACTAGTATGAAGTAGAAACAAACAGATAAGTATTATTAAGGATGTCATGAAACAAGAACCCTCATACGCTGTTGATGGGAATATAAAATGGTGTACCCATTTTGGAAAGCAGCCTGGTAGTTCCTCAAATAACTAAACATAAATTAACTAATAAACAAACATGTGGGTTACCATTTCTATTCCATTTCTAGGTATTTCCCCAAGGAAAATGAAAACATATGTCTATATACAAACTCATACCTGAGTCTTGATAATAGCATAATTCATAATAACTGAGAGGTGAGAACATCGTAAATGCACACCAACTGATGAGTGGATAAACAAATGGTAGTAGACCTACACAATGACATATTATGCAGCCATAAAAAGGAATGAAATACTGACACATGCTAAAACATACATTTTTTTTAAAAGCATTATGCTAAGTGAAGAAAAGCCAATCACATAATACTCATGTGACATGTCTAAAACAGGCAAATCTATAGAGAAATAGATTACTGGCTGCTAGAGTTAAAGGGCAGAAGGATTTCAGAGTAAGAAGGATAGGATTTGTTTCTGAGGTGATAAAATGCTCTAAATTGACTGGTGATGGCTGTGGCATTATACACGAATATACTGAAAACCATTGAATGGTATATCATAAATCAATAAACTGTTCACTATCTGATGAATGTTCACTAATGAAATGAAAAAGAGTAGCAGCACAGTTTATAATAGCTAAAACTTGGAAAAAGCCCAGCTGCCCATCAGTTGGAAACTGGATAAAGAAGATGTGGTTTTTCTATAAAATGGAATAATACTCAGCCATAAAGAATGAGAAAGTAGGAGCCGAGGATTTAGCTCAGCAGTTCGGTGGCCTCCCTTGCAAGCACAAGGACCCAAGTTCAATTCCCAGTACCAAAAAAAAAAAAAAAAAAAAAAAAAGAATGAGAAAGTAGATTCATTCATAGTTAAATGGGTACATTTTGAGGATATACTCCTAAGTGAAATACATAAGTCAAATACCAAATAGTTTCTCCGGTGTAAAAAACTAAAATCGTACTCAAGATCCTAACAGGGCAATTAGCAATATGAAATAGGAAGAAAAGGAACAAAGGTGTAGGGACAGTGAAAAGGATAGGAAAAGGGGAATAAGGGAAAAGGAAAAAAATATGAGAAAATGTAAAAATGGAATTAAAGTGTTTGAAGGTGGGGAGGTGAGGAGGGGGTGAAGGAAGAGTGGGGACAAGGGAAAATAATGAGAACCAAGACCTGGCATGTAAAGGTACAAGATCCCAGTAATGAATGTAACTGTACTGTCTACCTAGAATGTACCAATAAATTCAATTTAAAATAAAAAATAAATAAAATAAAATGAAAAAGAATTCACATCATCCAAAGACAGTTATGGTCTTTGCCCCCCACTGCTAACAATGTGCTTAAACAAGTGGCTTTATTTTGTGGCTCAGGGCCACATATTAGCCCTACCTCCAAAGTAGCTGGAACCTAAGGCCAGCACCTGGGCAGTCGTGTCTACATGAGAAAATTCTGATAATACTTTTGCTGAGGTTTGAGTGAGCTTCCCTGGTTGGTAATACTTCAGGGGTATTGTCACATATACCTTCCAGGAGAAGTCAGCACTGCATACAACTCCACTGGGACAGGATAACTGAAAGTTTAGGACTTGGAACCCTCCTAGACCCTGATCTCTAAATCTTTTCCTTTGGTTAATATTAGTCATTATTCTCTCTATAATCAAGCTTAACCATGAGAAAAACAATTTTTAGTAAATTCTATGTCTTTCTAGCAAAATACTGAACCTAAGAGTGGTCTTAGGAACCTCTGTGCACCTGGTGAGAAGGGTGAGCTTAGGGAATGCTCTAGTATCGTATTTAGCTGGATGGTTAGGGACTCAGAACACAGTTACAGACTTGGTGATGAGCTCTGGAAAAGAGAAATGTAGACTGATCTCTCCATATGAATACAGAGTGGGAAGACACTTGTGTCTTGTATAAAAATATTTATGTCACTAGCTACTCCTATCATTGCCCCCAATGCATTTATGAACAAAGGAGCCACATAGAAAGAAAATTTGGATGAGCTAAACAACATAAACTTCTACTCTCCAAAGCCAATCTGTCTAGAGCTCCTACTGAATGCCCAACATGCCAACAATAAAAACCAATACTAATCCCCTGTATGAATGATACTACTCTCTTGGGACAGCAGGCAGCTTCCATCACACAAAGTGCTGTACTTTACTCTTACTGGAATAGACACCCTCTCTGGATATGGATTTGTCTTCCTTATATGCAAAGTTTCTGCCAAAACTACTATATTGGGACTTACAACATTATAGTACTTCACTCATTACTTCTTTTGACCAGGGAATTAATTTTCCAATAAATATGAAACAGGCATGTGCCCACTGAGTTGATGGGTCCTACCATATTCTCTATCATCCTGAAATGGATGTCAGGACTGAAGAGTAAGTTGGCCTTTGAAAACTTAATTACAAAGGCCAGATAGGTGGCATCATCATGTAGGGGTCGGGGTATGGTTATGCCCTGTATGATGACTCTGCTTTCTGACCTAGGTTACACACAGTAATACTATGGACTGATACAAGAACCACTGAAAATGAACCAGATTCAGAAAAGAGATACCCCTAATCATAAGTATGAAAATCAGTATCTCAGAGCATCAGTTTTTTTTTATTAAATGGGATTAATAGCAATGCTGATAATTGTAAGCACTAATGTAAAGAGCCTGACTTATACCAACCACTCAAAAAAGGTTAGTTGCTATAATGTTCTCTAAGATACTGTACTCCTAGGACAGCATTCTCAAATGAACGTAATATCATGGCCCTCTTCCCTACCTGGGGATATCTGGCACTGTCTGAAGACATTATTTTATTAACTTTGGGAAAACAGAGGTTGCACTGGTACTGACTGACTACCTGCTGCTATACTCTCTACTCAGTACTTCTACAATGTAGAGTTAGCCAGCCCCAAAATATCAAAAGTACCAACAACCTACAATGTGGGAAACTTTTTACCAGCTGCTCCTCAGACAAAGGACTATTATCTACAATATAAAAAGAACTCAAAACAACCATCCCCCCCCCAAATATCAAGACCCAATTCTAAAATGGGCTTCTGAAAGGAACAGACATTTCTCAAAGAAATAAAAGCAGCAAGTAAATATATGAAAAAGTGCTCCATATCACTGGTCATTCAAGAGACGCAGATGAAAACAACACTGAGATTTCACCTCACCCCACAAAGAGTGGCTGCTATAAAGAAATCACACAATAACAAATGCTGGCGGGGTTGCGGGGAGAAAGGAACCCTTCTCCATTGTTGGTGGGAGTGCAGACTGGTGCAACCACTATGGAAATCAATATGTGGATATATCAAAGAGCTTGGACTGGAGATTCCATTTGACCCAGCCATCCCTCTGCTGGGTATCTTTCCAAAAGAACTAAAAGAATCATATCACAGAGAAGTACTTGCCTTCATTTTAATAGCTCTTGAGTACTTACTGTGAGCCAGCCACTGGGTTAGGTGTTGAACAACAATGAATGAGCAAATCAGAC